AAGATGTCATGAATGTCTGATTTTTCAATTTAGTTAATTTTATAATTTTTCTCTTGGGTTTTTATTCCTTCCTTTGACCAGGTCCTGCAACCTTAATTTTGTTCTAAAATCTTTCCTTCATAGTTCTGTTCACCTTTGGTTGAATTTTATTGAGTCTGAGTTGTATAATTTTTCATGTGTCTGAGTAAAAAAACTTAATTTTGATTAATTCAGTGTGTTGTGGTAATGAATAATAATCTTAGATGTAGCTGGGATATGCCGGTTAAAAGATTGTCTCTGGATTATAAATATTTTCTCACTTTTCTACTGGTTCATAGTCACACAAATAAGGGCTTGGTAGTAGCTAACTGAAATAGTCTTGTAAACCCTTTTAAAAAGTTGATGGTTTCATTCTAAATGCATATTCATTTACACATTTTGGTGGTGAAATCTGCCAGAGATATTTGCCTATAACATTACCAACTAGCTAGAGAGCATAATGAAATGCCCTTCGTTTTTTGTTCAGCTGTTAATGAGTGCTGTTAATTCTGTAGAGGGGTGTGCTGGGGAAAACGGTAAGCTTACGACATTGCCCAGTCCTCTTAGATTCTCCTACTTAGCTTATCTGAAGTCAGCCTGTCTCTCTTGACATAGTTACTGCCATTAGTGGAAGGAGAGGGCATTTAGGTAACAGAAGTTTAAATAACATCTTAAGGAGTCATTAAAAAAAAAAATAATATGTACTCCTGTGTGCTCAGATGGTGGGGTGGGCAGGACTTGTCATATGACTGATTTATAAACCCATAGCTACTTTCAGAAATTACCACTATGCTGATGTTCTTCCCTCCCCCATTCTCTGGCAGCCAAGGAAGGCAACAGAAAACTCCTCTCCTAGTCATCTCCCAGCCTGAGACAAAGACCTCTTCTACGAGAGTTCACTCTCGCTGGTTAGAGTCCAAAATGCTAATTGGCATCAGCTGTATTAAAATCATTAAGTAGGATGTGCAGCTGCCGCATCACTGGAGAAAAGCAAGGGGGAGCCTTACCTTTCTTTCCAAAATGTCCTCTCTCCCCTTTCAAGTACCTTAATCTTTTTTTTTTTTTCATTTGTGTATGATTGTGGCCTCCTAGGGAGGAGAATGAAGAGCAAAGCCATTTGGACTCATTCTACCTATGTGGGATGTATAAACTTCTCTTTTGTTTTGTTTTTTTCCACTTTGCACTTTTTTTTTCCAGTTCCACTTTCTTTTCAGATGTGGGATTTGTTCTAAAATTTCAGTTCTAGACTACTCTGACTCTGTCTTCTATTGTATCTTCTCAGGCTAAATGGGGGGAGGGGGTTTGTTGATGATGTGTTTAAATGTTGGATTGAGACCACCAAACTTGTTTTTAACTAACAGTTAAAGGGAGGTTTGAACTCAGAAGTTGTTTCGTTGTAACTCTAAAGACAACATAAAACACTATATTAATAAATATTGGTCATAATTAGGTTTCCAGTTGTAGTTGGCTCAAAGCCGTTGGCAGATTCTGCATTTCTGATGCTTTTTCTCCAAGGAGGGCACTCATTAGTAAATGACACTGAGGTACTAGATATCTCCGTATTTTGTAAGATATATAATAGTCATCTATTCTATACTCATAGAAGCAAGAGGAAGAATATTTGTAAGTCATGGTTTCATTACATAAAGTAAGTGTGTCTATCTATTCGACTCAGGGACATGTATTGTGCCATGATGATATGCTGACAGTATTTGTTAGTATGTGTATTAAGTGTTTTTCATACCAGTGGACAGTGCTGCATTTAAGCCTATAAGAATTTTTAATTGTAGAAAATGTGCAAGAATTTTAACTTGGTGGACTCTGTAACAAAAAAAAATACTGAAACTAATTAAAATATGTTGTGATCCTTTATCGTTACTTAGGAAGTGTCTCATGGGAGAAATGGAGGTAGCATTTGCTTTCTTTCGAGAAGTAGAGCCTACTGGAAGAATGTCATAGGTAATAATGACCCTTGGAATAATTTAGCCACTAAGGGGAGTGAGAGAGGTAGGGGCAACGATGGATTGGTAAAGCAAAGTCTGTACTGTCCAGTAAGAATGTTCATAACTTCAACAAGTGATTGTCTGCTGTTACCACAAAAACAAAAATGTAAAATATTTTTATTTTTCCCTATTCCAGCTCAACATTGTTCTTTTTACGCACAGATCCTTGTATGCTTACCAATTTGTATAAAAAGAAAAGAATCTTTAGTTCACTTTCTATTGACCTAGTTGCAGTCCATTGTAAAGAAAATGAGATATTTGGCTTTTCAGGGCCCAATAATGTGTTTAACTGTGGGCCTTGTCTCAGAGGTAACACCACACACCTTTCCAACATGAGTATGTTTATGGCCATAGTTATATGCTAGTTTTTGTTAGGAATCTATCCATCTTGACAAGTGTCTTTAGGGTCTTCCTGGGCTGCTCAGGAATCCAGAGATACCATCAGGAGCTACTTGTGGTAACTCAGAAGATAGCAGGCTCTGTGTGGCCTGTGCCAATAAGTTGTGGTCACTGTACACTATGCACATAAGCTATGTGTGTGAATGAGTGTGTGTACTCAGTGCATATATGCTATACATGTGAATGAGTTACACTATGCCCATACACTATGCATGTTAATGACATGCATGTGAATGAGTGTGTGTACACTATGCACATACGCTGCATGTGACACTGTGGTTGAATGTGTGTATACTATACATACATACTATGCACATGAATGACACTGATGTGAAGTAGTGTACATTATGCATATATACTATGTGTCTGAATGAGTGTGTACCACTGCACATATGCTGTGTGTGTGAATGAGTGTTTGTATATTATGCATATACACTATGGTGTGAATGGCACTGTTTGTATGAATGGGTATGTATACACTATACACATACTATGTGAGTGAATGATTGTGCATGTAAATGATTTTGTGTACACTATGAACATACACTGTGCATGTGAATGAGTGTTTGGAAAGCATACGATAAATCTTTTGATGAACTGGGCTTTCTAGTTTTATTTGCGGCTTGCTTCCTTGTGCCTTATGTTAATAAAAATTGTTAACTGTTGTGCTTTATATAGTATAAAGTTCCTTTGAAGAACTGTCCCAATAGAAGTGTGTTATTGTGTAACATTAGCCAGGCTAAACACTGGTTTCATTTAGAATTAAGATAGTTATCCTGCTTATTCAGTATCACATTCTTCATCATTACTTCAACCATGGTCATGTTGAAATTACGGATGAAACAATACACATTTGGTGTATAGGGTTTGAATGAGGGTTTTTGCACAGACTATTGTATAGACTGTACTTGGCCATGTGACTCTGCTCTTATTTGCAGTCATTATCTTCAAAGCCACATGACAACTATGGCCATATAATATGCTGTAATATTCTATACTTGGAACCAAGTGTTAGTTCAGAACCATGCTAAAAGCCGCTGTTTTGAAAATCACTGTTTTAAGATGATTACATGTTTTGTTATATATTTGGTTTCAACTAAATAAAGTACAATTTGGGAGTTGTACTTTAAATGATATTTTATATTTTTCATTTGGTCCTTTTATTAATATCTGATTAATGATGTGTCATCTTTTATATTAAAGAACAGTATTTGCAAAACAAACTTATTTTGAGTCTGTGAAGGTTGTGAGTGCTTCACAGATGCCAGAGGGCACTGGGAGATGCTAGGCGGTAGGTAACAGGTTGCTTCTGTGTGTTTCTCACCTTTTTTCTTCCTGTTAGTGGGTTTCTCCCTGTGTGCGTATGTGAGCATGTGCTCTCATGTGCACTATCTTCTTTCCTTGTATAGGCGCACACATGTACCTAGACTGCTTAGAAACTTCTGAGTCTTTAGAAGAACATCAATTATAAGTGGAATGAGTGTGTCAGTGCAGAAGAGTAAGGAAGTTTTAGGGAACCAGCCATCATTTCATTTTGAAAATATATGTAGTAAAGGGAATCTGGTTATCAGATTTTTCTCAAAGATCTTTTTAGTTTCTCTCTCACTAACCATAGCTGATGTTTTCTTATCCTGCAACTTCTTTGTTTTTTCTTACTTTAATTCTGCTTTCCTCTTGTTCCCATGCTACCTGTAAGTTTTTCTTAGCATGACTCTTTGGAGATGGTGTAACAGAACCCTCTCTCTGGTTCGTGTGTCTGGAACAAAAGGCAGAATCAGCATGCTGGTGTGGTTTCTTCCCCAGAGGTATCTATGACAGAAAGGTGGAAACTGGCATTCATAAAGGTGACTTGTTTTTATTTTTCAGAGCTGTGTCATTCTCTTTTTTCCATTCCTTCTCTGATCTTCTCACATAACTCTGCATTTCTTCCCCTGCATATCTTTTTTAATAAAGCAAGAGGCTGGGGATGAGCTGAGTCCAGAACATTCCCCTGTCACTGATTAGTGTTTTGTTACCGGGGCACGCTGGATTCACCTGGCTCTTTTTTTAAGGTGGTGGATTCTCACTAAGCCTACTGCCCACTGGGCCTGCAGTGCTGGCCTATATTCAGTAATCTGCCCCTGGCTTCGCTAGAAGGTGAAGCTGTTGTTTGAGGTTGTTAGAAGTGAACCTTCTCTGCCTTAAGTGTGCCAGGAGATTTATGTTCACAAGTGGATTCTAGAAAAGAAATAGCCTTTCTAGTAATTAATTTAAATAGTATCAGTCAATTACTTTTTTTTCCTCCCATTTTTACAGATGAGCAAATTGAGGTCCAAAGAAGTGGAGTAAATTGCCTTAGGGTCCCTTAGTTCAAGAGCTGGGACTCCAAGTGCCCTCTGCTCCATGCTTCCTGTGTTCATCTTTACCTTTTATACCTTATGTGTTTCATTCATGGCTTGTAAATCACATTTCAAAGTCCCCAGTTCTTGACAAGAGGATAAAGTAAATCGATCTCTATCCTTTGCTGGGGGGACTGGAAACTCCAGTATAATCATGCTCATAATTTAGAAGCCACACATTTTATTTTTATTTTTTCTAAAGGATGAAGAGGAAGAAATCAAACTGGAGATAAATATGCTGAAGAAATATTCTCATCATAGAAATATTGCAACATATTATGGTGCTTTCATTAAGAAGAGCCCTCCAGGACATGATGACCAGCTTTGGGTGGGCACATGTTTCCTAGCCTTTGTGGGGTTTCCTCTTGGGTTGTATTAAAAGGGCATTAGGGACCTCCCAGAGGGAGGAAAGAAAAAAGCAAAGAAAAAGGAGCTAATGTCTGGTGTCTTTTTTGGCCTTTTTAGTTGACATTATACTGATTGTTTATTTTGATATTGATTTTACTTTGCCTGGGAAAGAGTTAAATTTGTATTTCAGGAATTAAACAGCATGTTTTAAAAGGAAATGTAACCAAAGGGAAGGATATTAGGAACTTAAAAATAAAAACAAACTAAAATTAAAACTTTATTTATGGAAATTAATTAATATGGAAACTCAGCTGAATGCATCTTTATTTATCACCTGGAAGTGAGAGACAAATTGCAGAAAAACAAACTTATGTCAGTAATTTTTAATAATATTAATGATAACAGTTAATTAAAAATAATAAATTCCAGGGAAATTTCTGGGCTGGACATATTCAAACTTACCTCTTATTAAACACATTTATATTCAACATGATGAAACTCAGATTCTGTCAGAAATATGGTTATCATTATTAGTTATGCCAAAGGCCCTGGGCTTAGAAAGCAGGAAGATAGATGAATATTTTCCTAATTTTTAAAAAAAGCCATTGTGGAAAATTTGCAAAATTAAGAAAGTACAGGGGAAACACTTACTTTCTTTTCCATGGACCAAACCCCATGATAGTTAAAACTTTATTTCAATTCAGTTGTGTTTTCTGGGTATTTTAAAAATATACTTGTATCCATGTTGTTTAGACATTTAGATATAGCAAATACTGTAGTTTTAAAAACTGTGTATTACTTAAAAATAACATTCCTCTTTTGTACTATCCATTCAATGTAAAATAGCTTGAGATTCGTAATAGTTTGAATCTGCCAAATGAGAAACAATGTTAGGGAGTCTTTGTATCAAATTTTTGATAACTGAGTAACTATTAAGAACAAAATGATTCTCCCATGCTCTTGTGCTAAAGAGAAAGAAGGAACATTAAGAAGCTCTCTATCTCTTGGACTAAATATACATAAGTAATAAATTTGACAGTGAAATGTTCTCAATAATCTGAATGCCTCCAAAGTGATCATGTGCCCAGATCTTTAAGAAGAGCACAACGAGGTTAGATTGTGCTTTTTTAACTTGCCTTGGGTGTATATTGATGTCCATGATAGTTTACTGACTGTTGGGATATGACAGTCACAGTGTGTCTTTTCTGCCTTATAGCTTGTTATGGAGTTTTGTGGGGCCGGGTCCATCACAGACCTTGTGAAGAACACCAAAGGGAACACACTCAAAGAAGACTGGATAGCTTATATCTCCAGAGAGATCCTGAGGGTAAGGACAAGGCATGGATGGCTCTTGTGCCCCGCATGCGATCTTGTGTTTTATTTTCATTTTCCTTGTCTGAAGTATTTCCTTACATTAATTATAACTGTATGTGTTATTTTCATGACAACTAAGGCTCTGTATTGCTGGCTGGCTTTGATAGTTTAAGCTATATCATGGTTTTGATATAAAGATTATAGTGGGGTGAAGGCAGAGACAAATGTATTTGAAAAGTAAATAAATTAAAAAAAAAAGATTATAGTATTTTGGCAAGGATCTAAAGAAAGTAGACTTAACCAAAAAATATTTTTTTCTGTATTTCCCTGAATTCGTCTCCAAGTATTAAAAAGAAAAGCAAAATGAAGAAGAATAGAAATGATTGCTCCTGTTTTTATGGGAATCCTGTGTCTGAGCTTATGAATCAGTATTAATGGTGCTGAATGTTGGCTTTCAAAATCATCCTGTGGACTTTGACATTAACTGTTCGAAATCTCTTGCAATACTTACGAGGAAAAGTTCTAATGTTTAATGTTGTTTACAGCCACTTAGAAAGCTGCTTATGATCTTAGACTTTAGTAGTTTCGGAACTACTGTTACAGCAGCTTCTGAATGATTCCTTTTAGTAGCAGAACCATCCTGACAGCATAGGCAGAAGGTTCTTAGTATTTCATACTTAAAAAGTGCCTGTGAGTTACCAATGGCCTGTCTTTTTTGGTCAGCCAGCAGTTTTCTCTTTACTTACTTTCTCTTTCACTGTATTACACGTTTAAATGACATGGTTGGATTTAATTTACCTCCACCTTTATTTTAAAAATAAGTAATATAGAGTTAAACTGGAACCTAATTGTTATGCTTCTCTCACTAATAAAAAAAATAGTACTTTATTTTTTATTTGTAGGTAAATTTACCCCAATTTTTATATTTAAGTTTCATAGAGGACTGCAGGTTTTAAAAATGTCATGAAGAATTCATAGAGATAAGTTTTAATTTCTTTTTATTTAGATATTTTACACAGCCCTTGAAAATAGGGAATTCTCTTAAGAAAACTAGTTGTGAGGTTGAGGTATGAGAACCATCTATTTATAATCATATTCAGATTTCATTATTTAAACATCAGGGCTCTTTCACCAAGGACAGAGTCTAAAAATGAGAAAGTAAGTACCCTGCCCGGCATTGCTGCAATGGAGCTCGGTGTTTGTTATATTAATAACTAAATCTCGTAGCCTGGTTGGCAAGGAGGGAGCTCTGGTTAAGAGTATGGGTGCTAGAGTTCACCAGGCTGTGTGTATATGAATCATCTAATGTGACATATGAGTCACATTAATATTAATGTGAGACAACTAATGTTAAGAATTAGTTGTCATTATTCTCTGTTACATGCACACACTTACACATACCTTTCCTGTCTATAATTCCAGTGTTGGATTTCTCAAGCGGAGAACTAGGTTTTAGTATAAATGTCCAAGGCAGAAAATGTACTTTAAATAGACAGTTTACATGCTTTTATATGTACAGGCAAGCATTATTTAATATGTATATTTCATAATTATATTTAATAAGTATATTTAGTTATTTTATCACCATTAGCCTCAGGCATCATTAAAAAGCAGCCCAGGTTGTTTGATACCCCTGTTCAACGAATATAGTAGCTTAATGGACATCTTTTTGAGATGCAGCAAGTGTTTTCCACCTCACTGAGCATGTGAATAGAGAGTTTCCATCATCTACATTTCATCTAGAATGGGAGTTTTTCCAGAATCTAAATGAACTTAAAAAAAAAAAAGCCTCTGGAAGGGTCAAGGCATCAAAAGCTGGTGTGTATTTATCATGAAGGAATCACTGAAAGTCAGTTTTGGTAAAGAGAAGGCAATATGGTCGGAAGCGGGTGAGCTCTCATGGGAAAGGAGAGCAACCACCCCCAGGCAGATAACCTGGGATCTCAAAGACATGGCCAGGGATAATGTCTGTAGTGGTAAAACACATTCTCATTTCTTAGTGGATGTTAGATTCAGGTGCTGCTGTGTTAAAATCCCTGAAAAGGTTGAGAGTCTTGAGCGTGTAGAAAAGTTGTCTCAGGCTAGCCCACTGAAACTCTTGAGATCAAAACTTTTATGGACTGAGCCAGCACATTTATTCCAGCCCAATTCCACATTCACGGTCCAAACGGCAGTTATATGCATTTTTGTAGAAAGTATTTTTTAATAGAGTATGGTCACTTACGGCCTTCCATAACCAATACTGAAGGACAGCCTTTGACTGCTACTTGTTCTGTGTCCATGAGTGAAATAGTTACAGGAAAACTGTTTCCTAGTTTTGAAAAATTGATTAAATTTGGTCCAGAATGGGTATTTCTGTGTATTTGGACTTGTCATCTCTTCTAAGGAAGAGTGATGTGGCTTGACTTTGGCATGAGAGCAGTCAAACACAAACATTCCATCCCTCCCAGGTACTCCATCGAGCAAAAGTGTCTTCATTGTTCAGAGCAGTCATGACTTGGGTTGACATTGGTTAAGACCCCGTTAGCCACAACTTAAGTAGTGTCAGTGCAGAAGCTGCCATCCTTCATAGTAGCACAGGGAAGGAGACATTTCTCATTTTTATTGCTCATAAGGAACAAGTGTGTACCCAGGTCACGTTTGTCTGGGAACACATGGGTATTTGTGTTGGTTGCTAAAATAATCCTATAAAAGTGTAAGAAGGGAATTTGTATAAAGTTAGAGAATGAAAAATGAACTGAAGTAATAAAAGTAGAAAATATAAGAGAATTAGGGAAGCTATATATTTTTTGGTCTCTTCTTTTGGTGTTCAAAGTTATTTCATGTTGAAAGGAGGGACTCTTCCTAACTATAGCACTAAGATACTATATATTTTTAGTGCTCTTTTTCCCTAATCAGTGCTTTGTGGTAGAACACTGCATATCCTGTGTGGTGGAAGAGTACACAGAGCCATCAAATACATTCTGTTCTGTTTCTCAAGCAGACTAGTGACAGATTATTTAGAAACCTCTGTGCTAGAAAAACAATTGTTCTTTAATTCATAGCCAAAAAAGTCATGCTAACAGTAAAACCCATAAAAAATTAAACAGGAAAATCAAACCCTTATGTCTAATCTGCCCTTTTTGAATTGAGTCCTTTCAGAGTGAATAGATTGCTTGTGATCTTACAAAGGTGGGCTCTAGATTTCTAGCTCAAGATGGAACAAGTTGTGAAAATGGTGCATTTTTATCTTTTAGACCATATTAGGATGCAAAATGTGGTTGTATTCTTGGCTCCACCTTTCATAAGAGACATACTTTTGGGCTTCCTTACAGATACACGGTCATCAAAAAGCACCATAGACCAGTAGAGTTTATCTCTTTGGGAAAGAAATACTTGAACACAAAGCTCCTTTGGCAAAATATTTTATACTTGGGGTAGAGGTGAGATTGATCAACAGCTAGCAGTTTGTCACTGTGTGCTGGGAAAACCAGGCAATGTTCAGGGCCAAACTTTAAACCCCATTATCCCTCTTTGCTTTTCCCCTGGGATGTGTCTAGTTCAAATATATCACAGGGTCACCCACTGAAAGATAGGGGTGTAGCATGGGAAAGGAACTACCATGTACACAAATAGCATAAGTTATAGCAGTGAAAGTGCAGATGGTAATCTACAGCGTGTCTTCAAGGGGCAGCTAGAAAGTGGTGAAGTTGCTCACAAGGGTACCCATTGTGAGTTGGAGGGTGGGTGCTTCTTTCTATCTGTGTAGTATTAAGGGGTGATGTCTTCCTGGAAGTGAACTAAGATTGAATTTGTATGTTTTAAATGTGGTTCACAGAACCTTTTGGCCTACACATACACTTTGTCATAAAGGGTGTGTTCTTGGTTATTTACTTACAGCGGTAAAGAACTAAAGTTCAGATCTGTCTTCCTATTCAGGGACTGGCACATCTTCACATCCATCATGTGATTCACCGGGACATCAAGGGCCAGAATGTATTGCTGACCGAGAATGCAGAGGTGAAACTTGGTACGTGATGGATGTACCACAGGATCTCATACTTGTACCTGGTGCAGACCAGCAGTAGTCCCTGCCCTGTTTGCATTTAGGCAAAAGTTCAGTCTACTCTCCACATTTTCTGTTTCTGCTCTATTTAACAATTGGAAACTGGGCATATTGCTTAGCCTGGCTCCATCTCCCTTCTCTCATGCTTCTCCCCTCTGCTCTGTTCTCTGTGTAGTAGACAGACAAGTATCTAAATCACATCATGCCATTTTCCTGCTTAAAGATCACTAATGATTTTGTTTTACTTTCAACAAAATTCATGTTTCTTACCATGGCTCATAAAAAGCCATGGCCCCTGCTACCTCATTTTGTGACGACCCTCACTTCTCTCTTCTTCCTTAGTCACTAACTTTTAACTTCCTTGGAACCTGACTCAGGGCTTTCTCACATACTATTCCCCAGTTTGGAAGCTACAAGTTTTTTCCTCATTCTCATAGGCCTTACCTGACCCTCTCATCTGTTTTGGGTCCCACACCTTGTTTCCTCCATAATAATGATCACAATTTATAATTATAAAGCTATTTGTTTACTTATATTTTTGACTCCTTTACCAAAATGTAAGTTCTGGGTGTACAGTGACCAGGACTGAATTATTTCCCAGAGTATTCTTACCCAGCACCTAGCATAGTGCCTTGAATGTAGTAGGTGCTCGGTAAATGGATGCATGGATGGATGAATGGATAGATGGAGCTCACAGTGTCTTCCTGTAGATGGTTTTATAATGGTTCTTTTATATTTCTGTTTTCCCTTATCTGGATCTGAACTTGCTCTCATCCCACTTTCATAAAATAGTTCTGTCAAATTTTAAAACAGAATTAGCATTGTTTTCTTCCACTAAGGCATCGTAAAAAACTTCTTTATGCCTTTAAGAATTTAGCCCACCTTTCAAAAATTGTAGGCATAATAGTTACACTTTAAAAATAAGATCTGAATCATCGCTCTCTTACATAGTGCCTGCATTGATTGGTCGTCTTTGGAGGAATAGTCTGCTCAATTGGAAAATCCCCTCAAAGCTGAGAGAGGAGGTATTAGAATGGTGCTCATTCCTAACAATGCAGCAAGCTGTGTGTGTTCCCTGCATTGCCCCCTGGTGCAAAGTCTGTGACAGTCCCTCAGTAATCTCTGGGTGATAGATTACTAGTGCTGTCCAGGTAGCAGTAACTGCACTGACTGCGTGGCCTGTGAGTCTTTGTCCTCGGGGGTAGGGGAGGGGGCATTCACCATGATAACTGGCCAGGTAGTTGTTTTTAAGGATGACCTGAAGACAGAAGTTGAATCTGTACCCCTGCAAGTGCTGTCACATCTCTGTAGTGGAAGCTCAGGGAGGCTACAAATTCCATGCCTATCAGCTTCCAGACTGGTAGAGGATCTTGTTGGCTCTGCTCTGGAAAGTTGCTTCTTATCATTGTTGGTGACGTTGAGGAGTTTGCATGTCCATGAAGTATTACTGTTTCAGTTTACTCTGAAGGCACCCTTTCCTTACTTTTCTCACTGTTGTATTTTCCTTGTTTGTTAGTTGTGTTTTACTTTTCCTTTGTTTCTCTTCCTTCTAGTTGATTTTGGTGTGAGTGCTCAGCTTGACAGGACCGTTGGGAGGAGAAATACGTTCATAGGCACACCCTACTGGATGGCTCCTGAGGTCATCGCCTGTGATGAAAATCCGGATGCCACCTATGATTACAGAGTAAGAGGCAACCGCTTGCTTGGCCTTCTCTGGGTCACTGCCATTCCTGAGGGATGGGGGCTGTACTTACAAATTTTACACCCCTCATCCCTTCCTTCTTTCTCAGTGAGGATGACATGGGCACCCTGTTGCAGGTGCAACTTGGTCAGCACAGAATTTAGATGCTTTCTTCTGTTTTTATTCTGCATCACCACCTGTCTTCTCCTTACTAAGTAATGCACTGTTTTCAGGGCAGTCTGGGTCGCTTGTGCACAGAACTTTTGGTCATGAGCATATTAACTGATTCTGCCCTGTTTTCTTCCTTTTTATTTTGAAGAATATATTATAATCAGATTTTTTTAAATTGTCAGAATATGTAACAATGGCTTGAAATTGTTAAAGAGCTTTACGGCTTTGATTTGGTACACGTGTATTTAAATTATTAGAGTGACCTCTAGGGACATATATCAATAATACATTTTTTTGATCCTGATATAACGCCCAGGTTTGATCATCAGGCTCAGGTTGAATAAGTTAGCCCAAACTATATTTTTAAAAAGTTCCCTTGCCTTATTTAATGAGTCAGAGTAGTTATTGTACCTGTTAATAATATTCAAAATTGAGTTCATAACATTCTGCAGTGTACCTCAGTATTTATTATAAATTCCCAATTAATGAAATTCAATTTAAGCATGTGGTGCAGAGGAATTTTAATATGTTTATTTGCTGAAGTATTTAAAAATAGATAGTGGACATTGTGACTTTTTACTTTTTAGTACATCATTTTATATCTCTAAAATTTGCAAACATTTTCCAATATATTCAAAATATTTTCATACATAAACAAATAAAAAATAATTTTAAAAAGCAGAAAATCCATAGTTATACTCTGCTATATTTAGTGACATTATCTCAGAGGAGATATGTGGTCCATGTTGTACAATATCAAGGAGCATAGAACATTTGTTTGTCCTCCCGCTGATGCTGCTGAGATTGGTCACTGGGTCAAGATGATAAAGCCCCTCCTTTGCACCCTCGTAGTATAGAAAACTCCCTGAAAACAAGGGAGAAATTTGTGGACCTCTCCTTATTGTTGTAATCAAATATATGTGTTTGAACTCTGTAAATAATTATAGGTTATTTAGAGAACCTTTGAACTTTAAGTTATTCTTGTTAGGGTAGCATATAAATAAAAGAATGGTAATAATAGTAATTGTCCATTATCTACTTTTTAAAAAATCTTGTTTGGATTTTAAGAAATTGGCTGATAATCATTTATTCATTTGTCATCCAGTATTTATTGAGTGTTTACCACATGTGAGTCACAATTCCAGGGACCCAAAGGTAAATAAAACAGACAAAAATGCTTGTCTTCATGGAACTTACATTTGAGTGGGGAATACAGTTAAAATTCAAAATTTAAAAATAAGAAAATATTCTGTGCACTGAACAGCACTTTACTTATTGTTCACCCCTTACTAAGTTTGAGGGAGAGTGGAGCGACTCAGCAGCATGACTCATAGTAGTGAGCTGTGGTAGATTTTATTACTTCAGCTGTGGGCTTTTAATATAGAGTGCTTTCTAACCTTTAAACTTTCAACATCTTTATTCAATTTGAAATGTTAACATAACACATAAGTGTAAATGTATATCAGGGCCAGGAGTCTAAATTATTGAATGTTTCTAAAGAAATGAAGAAACACACTGAGCAGCAGAGCATGTGGAGGGCAGCAAGAGAGAGCTTTCACATGGACCATCTCTAGTTCTTTCATAGATATGAATGGTTCTGATTAACAAGTCAGTGTTACCTGTATTTTATTATTCATTTGGAAGGTATTCTCACAAATGTATCTGTGCTTTTAGTTTCCTGGCAAACCTCTTTTCAGTTTATACATCAAAGAATGTGTTTATATCATTTATGTGAATAACTAGCATTGTTAAGCTAGTGGCCTCATTACTAATGTGCTATCCTAACATACTGCTCTGTTTTTTTTTTTAGAGTGACCTTTGGTCTTGTGGCATTACAGCCATTGAGATGGCAGAAGGTGCTCCCCGTAAGTAACGTTCTTTATAGCCAATTGTTAGGTGTAACTTAATCCTAGCTTCAAGGCTTCAAATAAAAAAAAAAAAAAGGCTTCATTCCTGGATGAAAGAAAGCCATTCTTGGTGGGGCATATAGATGAAGGAATCACAAATACAGTGAAGCTTTGGATGTAAAAGGAATTTCTGGTATATACTATCCCTTTTGGAGATCTCCCTGAGGTCTGTAGGCTACACTGTTCTTTATTGAGGTTGTATTCAGATGTGTGACCTGAAATTATGGTGACATCACATAATAAACAGTAATTTTTCTTTTTATAATTTGAACTTAATATTCAGTGAAACCAGTCTTAACACATCAAATTTAAGTATAGTGTTTTGACTTTGCAAATAGAGGTAAACTTTTAATCTGTAGAATGACCTTTTTTGGTATTCCTAGGCAGTTTTGCTTCTGCTTTGGATTAAATAAATGACAACTTCATAAAATTGATTTTTTGATCAGGGATGTGGTAGAATTGCAGAGAATAGGGAAAAAATAGCATTTTCTGCTGGTTCCCCTAATAAAGATGTATACACCAAGAATGTGTAAATCTGGTACATAGTTGTTGCTGAGTAAGTTTTTGTTGAATGAATGAAAAAAGTTACCAACAGCCAAGAATTAGTTTGCAATACAGAAATGGATATCTGCCATGAATACCATATGTTTCCTCATGCTTTCTTCTGAGGAACTGAGACTGGGAAGTAGTATTGCCTGATCCTTTGTCTTGGGTTTTTCTTTCCCCTATAGTGGAAATAGTATTATATATACATTTGGCTCCCATTTCCCAGCTGCCTTGTAAGATTCTCATTGAAGATAAACAAACATGTGAAAATGCACATTGCCTATTGTGTACATGTGTACCCAGCATGCCTTTATTGGGCAAGTGGTGGGAGTACAAACAGTAATTGTGCAGAATTAAACAATTCGATTTTACTTTAACAGTTTTGCTGTTTCATAGTAATAATTGCTATAATAATGAACAGTCGACATTTCTGGAGGGTTTAAGTCTGCTTCCTGAGTTCCAGGCAACCCTCTGATAATAAAACTGTTTTCACTGTAATCTTATAGATGGTTAAGAAACTCAAGATGTTAATTCTTCTAAAGCTTTGAATCAATATTTATCTTTTATTCATGAAAAGTTTTCAACGTTTTTGAAATTGTATATTTTTGTCATTATACTGGTCCTCCTTATATTTTCCTGTTTAAATGGGGAATTCAGGGTTGCCCTAGGGCTCATAACTAGTTGTCTAGTCTGTTTGACATAAAGCATATCAATCACATGATGGGACAGAACCTTTGATACATGACTGAGCCCTAGATATCAAGAATGAGTAAAATAAGTGCCATACTGACACAACCATCTCCTCTCCCCAGCTCTCTGTGACATGCATCCAATGAGAGCACTGTTTCTCATTCCCAGAAACCCTCCTCCCCGGCTGAAGTCAAAAAAATGGTAAGCTACGAATTTTTTTGTTGTTGTTGTTATTGTTGTTCTTTTCTTTTTTTTTAAATTGTTCTTTTTTAATTTAACTCCAAGGCAAAATTCTGGCCATTCTGATTCACAAAGAACACAAAAACCAGTGTCCCCAAAACACCAATTAGAAAGTGTTATTTTTTTTTTGTTTTGTTTTCCTTGCTAGATTCTCTTTGTATTACAAAATAGTGACGTGTCCGTAATGAAACATCATAACATGTTTAAAGAAGAATGTTCCATTTTAATACATCAACACACTTTTAAGTGTAATATTTTCCTAAACATTTTTGCATTAAAAATCAAGGCTGTATTGACTTACAGTTCTTCAGGTGAAATAGGATGTTAAAATTAATGGCAGTACTCACTATTATTATTGCAAAACATTAAAGTTAGATGTTTCTTTTTCATTCCAGCATAACACATTACAGGAAGGGTCCTTCCTCTTTGGGCTGCCACCTTTCTTTCCCCTGCAGTTCTCATTTACCTGACAAACAAAAATTTATATTTGTGGAGGGAGACAATGATGATCTTCACTGATCTTTCAGCAGTGTCAAAAAACGCTGGTTTGATTTAATTTTTAAATTACTAAGGCAGAGGGCAGTGGTTTGTTTTTGTCTGAGAATTGTGTCTGTGTGTTCCCTCTTGCACTATGAGTTCTTTTTTATCAGTTCTAGTTTGCACTCAAACTCCCTGTGCCTGTGGGCCCTCACTCCTCTGTCTGCTCCTGTTTTCCTGGGCTCAACTATGGGTATCTTACTAGCACCTTCCTGTGAGAGTTTTGTTTTGTGTTTTTCCTTTCTGAAACTATTTTTCAATTCATGTTGTCTCCTCTTTGGTTCTTGACTTCAATTCTGAAATAGGCCGAAGATCTTGAGTTTGAGCTTTTCATTCTGTATTTGGTCTTTTAGCTATTATTGTCTGCTCTTTTCTTCTCAGTTCACTTTCTGATGTTTTATAGCTTGCTTTTTCCATCTCTGGGTGTACACACACGCACATCTTCACTCTTGTTTCTCTCCTACTGCTCCATATCCCTCCCTGTCCTTTCTCCCAACACATTCTACCATCCTTTCCCCATCTGTTGTTTGTTAATACTATTTTTCTCATTCTTTTAGTATTCTTCTTGAATCACATTCAACTCATAAAATTGAGGTTGCCAATTTTTAGAGAGGTTTTTTAAGGTTGTACAGTAGCAAAGATTTTAGCCTTAATGGTCTCTTGTTTTAAAACATAACTGGACATCCCTGGGTGGCCAGCCCTAGGGACACCAGTGCATATAGTGGACATTACCAAGAAAGAAGCTGTGAGGCTGGGGTCACACTTTATCTGGCTCTCACAAAACTAATAAGTACTCACTTTTCATTTCTTTTTCTCTATCAGATTTTATTAAAGGAAGTTAATGCTCTGTCTTCAAGGTGCCTCACAGTTTCTGGGTCTTGTCAGCTGGACTCACTCTGATGCTTCTGTTCATGACGTGCAGTTTGGGAATTATCCACTGTGTGCATAATACAGTGATATTAAAAGACAAATGTATACGACAATAAATTCCTCCTTGTCTTACTCCAACTTTCTCCAACTAAACTTGATTAGATGTGTTTTCATCCATTGTTCTCATATTATCCAAGTTTTCTAAAGGGACAGGGTGGTTGCAAAACATAAAGTCTTCCTTCCTTTATGATTGCTGTCTTTCTTTCTACCATGTGTAAGTTACTGTCTTTGGAGAAGTGGCTTCCAAGATGATCGATTTACTCTCGTCTAGCAGAACGTGGTAGTTGATTTTAAAGAGTATATTACAGATCATTGCTTCCCCAATGCTAATCTGTAGGCATGGACGTGAGCATCCCTTTGAGATCTTTTAGTTTAGTGCTCCAGCCTCAAAATTTCTGCTTTGTTAGGTCTAAGAAATAATCCAGGTATTTGTATTTTTAATAAACTCCAAAAATGATCCTGTGGGCAGTTGAGTTTGGGAGTCTCTGTTAGAGCAATACACTGCATCCTCCATGTTCCTCATTAACCACAGAATAAAGTAACAACCTCCTTTAGCGACTTTGGGGGCCCTTCTCTGAGCTTACCCAAACCTATTTTTCTATTCTTTTCCACTTTCCATACTGGCATCAGAAAACAATTTATTATTCCTAACAGTTTTTTCCCTCTATTCAAGTCATTCATTTTGGAATGATGGCTTTTCCTCTCCCATTTTTGGAATATCAAAGATTCTCTTTTTCCTTAATGTCTAACCCACTGTAGCAGTTGTTCTTTTTGTCTTCCTCTGTAAGTTTGATGGTACATCTGCCATTGTGTGTACTTAAATATCCTCCACTTTATTTCCTGTATTTCTTAAAGAACCTAGCATAAACAAATGTAAATTATTGATGCATAAATATTTGTTGAATTGAAAAAAATAGTTTGCATGGAAATACAGGGCAACAAAAGCGATTCTTGAAAACAGTGAAGTCATTGGAAAGAATTAAACTAATTTTCTAAATCACATTTTTAAAGACTGAATAACTCATTCATTCAACAAAAATTTATTACGTACCTATTGTGGTCTGCCATACTCAGTATTGGCGTTGCTGACAAATTGAAAAACAAGAACCAGTTTCTGACCTGTGTCATTTCAAACCAACAGGGGAGACAAACATTAAGTGCACAGTGTGTTAAGTACAGATAGCCTTAGAAGAAAGGCTTCTCACCTGGTGTGTGGGGTGGAGTGTTGATAGGAAAGGCTTACCGGGAGAGATGAGGCCTGAGTCGAGTCTTGGACATGTGATGGGTGAGATTGTCTGGGCCCAGACAAGGGGTGGCATCCTCATGAACCAGGCATCTCTTGGTGAAAAATCAAAGTGGCTGACCTGATAAGCATCGATGATAGTGTCGCCGCCCCCTTCAAAACTATTATTTCCACCTCTGTACATTAAACATAATGAACTAATAAATAAACCAATTTGGGGACTCTGATTGAAATGTCTTTTTAACAAGTTCTAGAGCCCCAGCATTTGGTCACTTACTTGGCTCTTTCTCTTATTTTCTATGTTGTCCTTGTCTTTCAGGTTCCAGACATCTCTCTTCCATCTGCCTTCATTTTAGCAAAAACCTCCCCTATACCCTCTTGCCACCTCCACTTCTGCAATTAAATGATTAACAAACAACATTAATTCATTTAAATCAGACTTTCTTCATGACTCTGTTTGTGGCCTTTTTTCTTTCATCTGATATAATCCTTAAACCGTGTATAAGTCAAGCTCCTGGTCCCCATGTCCTGAACTCCTGTTTATGTCCCCTGCATCATTCCTGTGCATTTGCAGTACATTCACAGTGATCCTGAGGCTCTTCTTTGATTCAGGCTTACAAGTTACTGATATTTTGAAGCTTTGGGGTAGAAATTTGATCATCTTTTTTACTTCCTCCTATAGGTCAAAGAAATTTTTTAGTTTTATAGAAGGGTGCCTGGTGAAGAATTACATGCAGCGGCCCTCCACAGAGCAGCTTTTGAAACACCCTTTTATAAGGGATCAGCCAAACGAAAGGCAAGTTAGAATCCAGCTTAAGGACCATATAGATCGGACCAGGAAGAAGAGAGGAGAGAAAGGTATTAAACTTGTTTGTATTTTCATTTGAAAAATGCATGTGTATATATATGTTTTTAATTCTTTTGCCAACTAGAATAGGTTGCTCCTGTCCCAACCATGAGTTTGTGTTTACTTGCCCAGTGCTTGAGGAATTTGTCTTTCCTTTGCAGATCAGTGATGGGCCTGTGGTCTGCCTGGCTCCAGGCAGCATCCATAGAGCTGTGCTGTGTGATGCCAAGCTGACGCCAGTTAGACCCTATGGCTGGTCAACACAGAGGGTGGTTTTTGTTGTTCCTTGTCAGGAGCACATCTCTGTTGCTGCACTTTTTATTTCATTGTGAACATTGTGCCCTGAATACATCACTCAGGGTTTATTGAGCTTCAGCTGTGAACGTTGTCATCACTGTGTTCACGTGTTACTTTCATGTGGCAAGACTCCTGGGTTTCTTACTGCTTTCCTTTGCTACTGGTGCTGTGCTTAGGCCTGGGCCACATGGACAACCTAACTACTTTTCTCCTTTTACTGCACAACATGAACATGCCCTCATGCTTGCAATTGATATTTCTTTCTGTTCCCAATATCATTGTTTGATATCTTTCCATGTTCTGTGTCCACCTGCCTGACATGCCCTCTCTTTCCCTAGGTCCAGCAAGGTACTGATCAGGTTTTCATCACCAGCTTCATGAAAGTTCCTTCCCTGAGTTCTCCAGTTCACTTTGATTTTTGTTTTGCAAATTCTTTGAGTAACTTTACAGAACAACATTAGGATAACAGGCATCTTGTTAATGAATTTGTTTTGACACTCAAATTTCAAGGCCAAAGAAGAAACTAAAAAGAGCCAAATTCAATGCAGTGAAAGAGCTGGTCACAGTCGCCTTTGGAGGCCTTTACTGACCAGTTTATATGTTCATTTCAGTCTTACATAACTTGGGTATTCAGAGTTGTGTCATCATTGATGTTCATAATAATGACTGTTTTGCCCTCTGACATACTCATCTGTAAAAGTTATTAACCTTTTGTAATTAAGCTATGCAGTTGTAACAAAGTAAAATAAAGTTTGCAACAAAATAAAGCATTTTTTGGAAAGGGTTATTTACATATTGGGTCCTTTTCCCAGTCCTTTCTCTTTGTCCTCACCAGAGAACATGGTTTTTTGGTTTGTAGGCCAACACTCAATCCACTGAGCCTCACCAGCCAGGACTTGGACATGCTTTTTGATTTTAGAGAAAGGGGAAGGGCGGGGAGGGGGGACGACGACCACTGATCGGTTGCCTTTCATAATCACCCCAACCAAATCTGCAACTAAGGCATGTGCCCTGACTGGGAATCAAACCCAAAACCTTTTGGTTCATGGGCAGGTGGTCCAACCAGCTGAGCCACACTGGCCCCCATTAATTTTTTAATAATAGCTGACAGTCATGGAACATTTGCTGTGCCAGGCACTAAGTAATTAACTGGATTATCTCATGTATTTCTCATCCACATTTTGTAGATAGGACAGTGGGTACCTTCATTTCTTACCTTCAAGTCACAGTGGCCTCTTTTTTGTCTTTGCATTAATTCATCTTCCAGATATTCTTCACTTCTTGTCAATAATTACTAGTTCATCGTACAAAATTTTAAACATATCAGAGACCTTATTCAAAGGACTCCAAAGATTGTTTAGGTGGAATTTCCCTTGGAAGCTAGCCTGTTTTTATGTTCTTTAAAATTATATAGTTTTGACTGTCTAGCATAGGAGATAAACATTGATGAATTTGTGTGTGTGTGTGTGTATAACATATCTGTAGTTATATATAATATAGACCGAACCATAGTTTAAGTTCTCAGTCTAATTTTTCTTACCAGGAAACTGATTTTAAACTTAGATCTCTAGAAAAAGTTAGAAATGCACTTCTTGTTTGTGAAGAGATTTTTTCTTCAACCTTTCTAGTTTTGACTGCTCTATGGAGTGAAATTGCTCTCTGAAAGCAAAATACTGATATTAAGCTGAGAGTCCAATAAAACAGACTGTTACTTAAGGGAAAATGTCATAAAACCTGTTGAAGTGAAAATAAAGTTAATCATGTTGGACCTTTTGCTTAGTGTAGTCTAAGGAGAGCCACTTTTTGTCTCCTTTTGCTATATTATTTCATCACTTTCTCCTTGATTTCACCTTTATAATTTGTGGGAATATCTGATTTTGGCTTTTGGGTTCTTTACCTGCTATATGATCTACTTCATATTTCACTTTCTGTCAGCCCAGCTGACTTTCTCTCCACTGCTCTTTTGGTGGATCCTTGAATACTGCTGTAAAAATTAGTTTTCTAGTTGCCTTCGTTTGAGCAGTTAAGTCTCCTTCTTTTGAATTTTCGCATTAAAGTGGATTTGGATTTTCTGAACTTGTTTCCATTTTTGGGCCATTTTTCTTCTTTATGGAGGGCTCTGGAGCCCCTGTCACAGCCCTTCTTCCCCTCAACAGTATGTCCCCTGAGGGGTTGTCTTGAATGCAGCAGAATCTGCTCTTGTCTTGTGAGTAAGTAAGGATAGCCCAGGGACTTGCCACCACTTACTGTGGGAAAGTTCTTTCTTGTTGCTTCTTCCCCCAAGTTCTCCATACACATTGTTATTTTCACAATGAGTATATTGTTTATTTTCTGCCTTAACTGTCTTGGAGATGCTTGCCTGTATATGCATTGTGTCATGACTTGTGAACTGTCCCATTAATCTTTTTTTTAATAGATGAAACTGAATATGAGTACAGTGGCAGTGAGGAAGAGGAGGAAGAAGTGCCTGAACAGGAAGGAGAGCCAAGGTAATGATAAAGTCACTGTTCAGCTTCCTGCACTATGAAGAGTCATGCCAGGATTTCAGAAGATTCACTTTTATGTAATACGACTAATCTTATATTACTCTGAAAGTTCCTTAATAACTTCCATTCTTCTCCATTTGTTGAAAGGGTCCTATAAACATTTTTTCTCTCAGGATCCTCTTAGCCCAGTGGCTCTTTACCAAGATTGCGTTGCTACACTCCCCCAGTCACTCGGAAATACGTGGGCTATGTTTGGTCCAGGGAAGCGGAGCTTGCTGCTGGCATTTGGTAGTCTATGGTGTGGGTGTAACAGTCTCATAGTGCATGAAACTGACCTCCACACACAGTTGTCTACTCATGGGCCAGTAGGGCTACCACTGAAAACATTATAGTTTTTCCCAAAACATTTTTATTTATTTGTTTAGCTCTCTCCACAGGGGTGGTGACCAGCATTTCATTTCCTTTATTAGGGTGTATTCTCTCCTGACCCATTTTATAGGCTGTGTTTTGGTCTTCCCAATGTACACTGGCTTCCCAATATACAATGAAGCAGAAGGATGAAGACTTGGTAGTATGAACCTCACGATAACTAATTAATCAGTGAATAGAGGATTTTAAAATTAATAATGGTCTTACCTCATTTGTGCTGTAGCCATTTGTAACTGACTAATTAAATAGAGGGGATGGAAGAGTGAAAGATCTGTGGGGACGCAGTGCAGAAGATGGCAGCTTGAAGAGAGCATAGCAAGAAATAAGAGAATTTATTGAAAAAATTCAGTAATATCTTTTTCTTCCTACAGAAAAGATTTGAATCCATTTGAGAGTAAAACTTTTAGAGTAATTTGAACTGATTTCATAACCAACATAATTATTTTTAGGTAGGAGCATGATCTAATGAAAGAGGTCGTTTAAGGAGATTTATTTGCCATGTTACTCTGGGTGTTTTGGAAGTGGAGGGGAGACCATCTAGGAATGATGCTGTTTAATCAGTGGTTAATTCTTGGGACCTCACTTGGATTTAGCTGCTGACCCCGAAAATAGATAAAGTGGGAGAGAATACATGGTAAGATTTGGTGTACCAGATGAAGAAAATGAAGGTAAGTACTGAAGGTTACTCTGATATTCCTTTCCTGGCAGACCCAGAACATGATGTTGCTTTTACTAATGGGAAATAAGGTGGTCAGAGAAGGACTGAATATGGAAAATGGTGATTTCAACTTTTAATTTTAGAGTTTGAGTTATGCGAGAATCCCAAATGGAGATATCTTGTCAAGCAAACAGCCAGGCCAGAGTTTTCAGATATTTATGAAATAGATAAAAGGAGATAAAATGTACTATTGACTTGTACATGTAATTGCCATGGACTTACTAGCTCAGCCTCAGAGTGGGAGTAAGTCATTGAGAGGGTGACTGTGAGACAGTGAGAACCGTCTACACTGTTGAAAACCCTGCTTCCTCCTCCAGTTCCATTGTCAACGTGCCTGGTGAGTCCACTCTGCGGCGGGATTTCTTGAGACTGCAGCAGGAGAACAAGGAACGCTCTGAGGCTCTTCGGAGACAACAGCTCCTACAGGAGCAGCAGCTCAGGGAGCAGGAGGAGTATAAAAGGCAGCTGCTGGCAGAGAGACAGAAACGGATTGAGCAGCAAAAAGAACAGAGGCGGCGGCTAGAAGAGGTAGATAAAAGAAATGTCCAAGTTGGTTTTCTCTTCCTTTTATTCATATTGGTAACCAGATACTCACAGGAGTATCTCTGCAACTTCCCGAAGCACTACCTTCCCCCTGGCTAAGCCATTTGTAGCTGCCTTTTTTTTTTTTTTTAATTTTTTTATTGTTCAGATATGTTTGTCTCCATTTTCCTGCCACTACTTTCCCCTGCCCCACCGACCCCTACTTCTCACCTTCAATCCTTCCCCACTTTGGCTTTGTCCATGGGTCCTTTATACATGTTCCTTGACCCTTCTCCTCCTCTTCTTGTTACCCCCTCCTACCTCCCCTCTCATTACTGTTTTTTTTCTTTCAATGTTGCTGGCTATATTTTTCTTGCTTGTTTTCTGAAGGAAAGCCTGTACTTCTAAGGGGCAGGCCGTCACTTTTGTTCTGGTCATAGAAAAGGTTTTCTTGCTTGTATAGGCATCAGGGACTTGCCCCACAGTTACTTAGCATCATTCTGTGATAGAGGCAGAGCAGCAAGGTCCCAAAGATAGTATCACACTGATTCTGGAGACTGTTTCTGTTGTTGTTTAAATTGGCTAGCTCCGGTTTGACCCAATTGCTTTCCATTTTTGGCCTTTTGGTTCAAGTTCCAAAACCTCAGAGTTTTTCACATGAAAAACATTTCTCTACAGATGCCTTAACTTCAGTTACATTTAAGACTAAGGGGTGAAGAAAAGAGTCATACTATGTGTAATACAAATACATTTCTGTACTTTAGTTGTTAATGTGGGCTCAAGTATGTCCTTCAGTGGGGAAATATATTTTGTCTTGCCTGCTCATTTAACTCAATACTGTTCAACATTGGTAATGTGGTGACCCACAGCTTTTTCATTTTTACTTCACAGAAATATCATTTCCCTGTGTTTCACTTGGGGCTCAAAAGAGGTTTTTTATTTTCTTTTTTCTAACTGCTTTTATTATGTACATTTCACAGCTCAAAATTTCTTATTTATAATAGCTTTTATTTCCACTTAATTTGCATACCTATTGTTTCACCTTTCACACCAGAAAAAGAATGCAAAGCATATATAGATATAGTATCAGTACAAGGCTTTATTCTATAAATATGATAACAACACATGCTGTTACTGAAGTTATTTAAGAGTACATTTTGTGAGGGAAGTTTTTGTTTTGTTTTCTGTGTTTATAACCTGAATTCCACGTACTTGATCATTTCTACTTTAGAAAGCCAGGGCTTGTCTACCAAGGAGACTCGGAATCTTTACCCAGAGTCTGTGGAAGAAAACAGAAGACAGAACCTTTCTCTGTAGTGGAGACAACACTACTAATTATATTATTCTTTTGCAGTTTATTTGCAAACTCTTGGAATACTTTTAAAACTGTTCTCAATGCTCTGTGAGAATAATGGAGTGGCTTCTGAGGTTTATTCAAGTTGCATGTTGACCATTTGGACTTAACAGGAATGCTTGAGTTTTAAGGCTCTATTCTAGTTGTGTATCTAGAACATGCAGTATTCTTTACTGTCCTTTCTAATCCTGGGCTGTAGTTTCCTTTATCACATGAAATAGATTAGTTTGGTGGTTTATAACTTGAAGTGCCAAGGCAGCTTAGCTTGAGCTCAATTGTACCGCAGGCCTTGGGAACTGCTCTCAGGCCCAGTGATGGTGAGATGAGTGCAGCCTCTGGACACAGTAGGGAGTGAGGATTGCAGTGGCTCAAGGAGAGGAGCTAAAATTTTTAAAGCCATGTTGTTTTATTAGCTAAATAAAGGCTAAGAATTAAGGGCTTCTGCTAAATGAAAACTGCACTTACCGTTTGTGTCGTTTAGCCCTTTAATGTCAGCTTCTCAGTAAAAGTTCAAACTCAGCATCACTTTCTATATCTCTTATCAGGAATGAGGGAGCTGGGTTCTGAAATGGAATGTTTGCATGAATGTAATCCACTGGTTTGGATTCTTGGTAATCTAGGTCCTTTTTATTAGCATCAGTAATTAAGCATTGTCTGTACTTTAGGTCCGAGAAGGTTATTTGGGAATATTTGAGCCATAAATGGTTTGTGGCCATTTATTGGCCTTAAAGGTTCAATCAGAACTGTTGGGAGAATAGGGATTTCTTTTGTTATTAACAGCGAAGTAGATAAAGATGGTCAGTCAGCCTCATTCATAAGAGCAATGACAATTAAAACTAAAAGGGGATACCTTTTCTTCCTGTTAGAGGTAGAAAAAATGGTCCAAAAGTTGAGGTTGTGAGGAAGCACAATGCAGATGTCCTTACTTCGAAACTGCCATGAAGTGAGGCCCACAGGAGTAAGAACTCCCTCTGTCATCTGCCCCCTACACCTGTTTCTGAACCCTCTTTGCAGGAGAGCATTGCCCCTTATAGGTCCTGCATCCTTAAGAAATCTATCTGTACATACATATTCCCATCTTCCTTTAGTGCTCTTTGGCATTTGCTGCTGCTAGCATCTCTCCCCTTTGTTTTTCTCTACTTCCTCCTCCTTGGCTCCTGTGTAAACTAGAGATCTGGAAGTCCTTGCAGATATTTTTGAGTGAAGTTTTTCTTTATGTTATACATTTTCTTTGTTGCTTTTGGAAGGTTCAGAAGGAAAAGGGGGGATGTTGAGCTCATGCAGCCAAATTTATACTGGTAGTTTCATCTACCGCTTTCCTGTCCCTCACCTGTTTGTGCCCCCAGTCTCTCTCTTCTGGGTATGCTTACTGCTTCTGAGTGAATATGAATCCACATTCAGAACCCCATATGATGAACATCTCCTATTACCAAACAGTTTTAATATTACTATATTACTTTTCATGTTTAGATACATCTTAGCAGCTTTGGATCATATAGAACTTTGTCCCTATTTTTTTTCCCATAAAAATGGTTCAGAGGCTGGCTTTTTCTTCTATTCTCACCTATTTTCTTTTTTGAGCAAAAATGAAGAATATTTCATTGTATTGTGCTGCTTTTTTAATTGAATCTTGATTTGGTACCTTTTAACTTTCCCTCCCTACTCCTGGGACTTCACACATTTGATTAGCATGCTTTCTCTTTCTTTGTCTAAGTTTAGTAAAAAGATTAAACGAGATGTTATCTTTGAGAAAACCATATCAGTAATCCATGTCAAGATTACTACCTTCATTAGTGTACTTTTATTTTCTGTTGAAGTGCTTTCTTATTTTTATTTATTTATTATTAAATTTATTGGGATGACATTGGTTCATAGGGACATACAGGTTTCATGTGTACATTTCTGTGAGACATGATCTGTATATTGCATTATGTGTCCACCACCCAGCATCACATCATCTTCTGTCACTATATATTTGGCCCCTTTTACACTTTTCTATCCCTCATTCCCCCACCCCCTTCCCTTTGGTAACCACCATGCTGTTGTCTGTGTGAGTTTCAGTTTTATACTCCACATATGAGTGAAATCATATGGTCCTTAGCTTTTTCTGACTGTTTCGCTTAGCACAATATTCTCAAGATCTCTCTGTGTTGTCGAAAATGGCACTATTTCATCTTTTCTTATGGCTGAGTAATATTCCATAGTGTATATGTACCACATCTTTTTTTATCCAGTCCGAATTTCAGATATGTTTTTGAATGTGTTACATATTTAACTAAGTTTCCTGTCTCCTAGTCTATACTTCTTCATTTTGACCTCATGGAAACTGTCAAATTTTAGGTAAATGCCAGATACATTTGTTTGTGGTTTGGTGTGCTACTTTCAGAAAGTCTATGGTGCCATCACAGCAGCAGCACATTCTTTTAAATTATTTTTAACTGTGTATAATTGACCTTTTTAGTATAGATGGCAGTCAAAAATCAAGGTTTTTATTTAAGATTACAACTTATCCTTTTCTTTAAAAACAAACCAAAAACTGGGAGGGGCACCCAATTCCCTATGTCCCAGTCTTACCCTTTTGTGGAGATGATCCTGGCATCTGCTTTATAGACTTGAATGTTTGCTGTTAAATCCAGTCAAGAACCTCACCAAGAAGGTCATCTCTTCCTTTCTATTTTTCTTTTCTTTTTTAATCCTCACATGAAGACATGTTTATTAATTTTTTTTTGTTTGAGAGAAATAAGGGTTGGGGGAGGAACAGAGACAGAGATAGAGAAGCATCAATTGGTTGCCTCCCGTAGGTGCCCCAACCAGGAGTTGAACCTGTATAACCTTTTGGTGTTTGTGACAACACTTGAATCAGCTGAGCCACTGGCCAGGGCTCCCTTTCTTTTCTTGAACAAACACTGCTGATGGGACATTCAGGACCCCCCTATTTCTGTGTTTTCCTGCAGGTATAAAAGAATAATTTCCTATTTTATGATCCTTGCCTTTCAAAGTTTTTTAGCCCTGGAGTTGCCATTACCACTTTGTGATTTGAGGGAACCTTCTTTCCTCCAGTAAGGGGTAAATGTTAGTGTAAGCCCTAGCAGTCTCTTTACTCTGCTTTTTCTTTCACTCAGAGGACATTTCATTTCTATCTTATCTACAAATTCCAAAGTGACTAAAATTTTATAGAGGTGGATGGAAGTTACATTAAAAATAAATGAAAACAAGAGAAAAAATGTTATGTGAAATGGGCTTAGTACTAAAGCTAAATTGTAACACTAGGAAAACATATATGTTTCTAAGAAAAGAATTAATAAACTGTAACATGTGTTTGTTGTGTATTTTTTGGATATGAGATCTTGGAAGCCATGGTAAACTCTTTCAGTTTACCTGCAGTTTTACCATGCATTTTAAAGAAACAGGAACCATTTCTTTACCCCTTGTTGTCTACGTGAAGGCTTTGCTTGGCCATTCGTATCTCACATCAAGAGCACATGTTAGCTCAGTTCCAGCTGTGTGTTCTTTGCAGGAATCACTGTGGCAGGCATGCAGGTACCCCTGTGGCCCAGTCCTCAGCTTCTGCCAAGTCAGCAGCTTCAGTATTATGCAGAGGGTAGCACTTCTGCCTTTCCTAACTCCTTATAAGTTCATAAATGTTCTTCTA